AACTACTGTTATTTTGGTATCTGTTACAACAGCTGTTCGGATATCTTAATTACATTAGAAGGTAAAACTCAACAATGTCTGTATTATAAATCGAACAGAAGTTTTCTAAAAATCTAATGAGAGTTCCTGTTTCCTACATTGTAGTCAAATGTTCTTTGCATATGTTTCCAGTTACTACTAGCTATCATTCTGTCTTGGAGCATGATAATCACCTGACATTGGTTAACTGACTGTATACCACGACAAGCAGCAAAGCAGAAAGACTGGCTAGATATGGTTCCAGGCAAACTTAGTTGAATCCTCCCTGGCTACTCCCTAGCTATGAAGAAGTTATTAGAACTATATGATACTTTAAAGACCTGTAAAATGGGAATAGCAGAGCTCCTTAGAAGATTAATTGGGGGGGGGGAGCGGGCGCCTGGGTGGCTTAGTCGGTTAAGGGTCCGACTTTCGCTTAGGTCATGATCTCGCGGTTCGTGGGTTCGAGCCCCGCGTCGGGCTCTGTGCTGACTGCCAGCTCAGAGCCTGGAGCCTATTTCAGAGTCTGTATCTCCCTCTCTCTCTGACCCTCCCCTGCTCATGCTGTCTCTCTCTCTCTCTCTCTCCTAGAAATAAATAAAAATATTTTTTTAAAAAAGAAGATTAATTAGGGGGAATAAATAAGTTTGTGTATATCAGAGGAGTGAAGACAGTACTTGGCACAAAGAGGTATCCAGAAAAGGTTAACTTCATTTCCTTTGGTTCCCTGCATACATAAGTCACGAGGGTCTGATGATATTTTCCAATAAGCTACTACTGCTGTAGCCATTCAGGGCTCCAGCCCTTGTCCAAACCAGCAAAAGTTATTGGACACTGTAGGGGTCCTGGGATTTACAATGCCAATCTCTTCTTAAAGGTTGTGAAAGAAACCATAAAAAACTTTTGTGGATGAAAACCTTCTCCCAAGGATTATATGGCTGCTTAGAAAGGATGTTGATAAGTGGTGCATTAGTTGGGGGAACACTAGCCAGTAGAGCACACTACCGTCATCTCAGACAATAGAGGTTCCTAGAGCATGAGGCTCTGCTCCATCCAGTTATCCAAGGGTCCAGACTGGCAGAGTCACCGACCCGCCTGATAACATGGGATGGCAGGATTATGTGGGAGGCATTTACAGGCCAGGCCAGGAAGTGATTTCATAACTTCCACTCACATTCCACTATCCACGAGTCTTATGTTGAGACCTAACTGCAAGGGAGGCTGGCAAATATGGTCTGGTGAGTGCCCAGAAAGAAAAAAAGAGAAATGTGGGGAAGAGCTAGAAGCATCTGCCATAAGCAGTTATCCTGAAAGACTTCACTGAACTATTTTATTTAGCTTCAACTTGAGTACTAGGAGAATACACTTAGACAAACTGGGCCAAAACTTCTATTAACAATGTCTTACAAAAGTCCTTGTAGGATACAAGAAATGAATTTAAGGAAGATAATTTTTTAAAGAACTGACTAGACAAATATCTCCTAAATGCTCCAAAGCGACATCAGTAAGTAATAATAATCACTTAATAATGTTTTAATGGCAGAAAACCCAAATTATTTTAGCTAGGAGAAGCCTCAAGCATTGGATCATTTTCCTCTAGGAAAAAAGAAAAACAAGCGCTTTTGCTTAGGGAAGGATCTGAACTTCTAAGGGATTCCCAAGAGTCATTAACTTCACGTTGTCTTTTCCTAAACAATGGTGTCCTAGTTACTGGACGAACAGCACACAGGTGGCCCAGAAACCACACACGCATTGGTCACAGTCACACATGGCAAAACCTGCTAAGAGGCTGCAGACGATTGTGTTTCATCATGATGATATTTCCAGAAATAAAGGGAATTACACATCAATAAAGCAGTGAAACTCTGAGGGTAACCATGACAACTATTGCAAATTTAATAACATTTTATACTCCTCAAGAGTTTTTTTTCTTTTTTCTTTTTTTTGTAATTGCCAAAAAGATTAGACAAATTCTGAGAAGGAGCTGGAAAGCACTTTGTCTCACCTAGTAGCCTTACACTTCTAAAGATGTCACAGCACGCTCGGCACATACTAATACTGACTTTGCAGCAGCCTCTAGAAACGCCCTGCCTGCTTCCCGCATGGTTTATTGTGAAAGATGGTCCCGCAGTTCCGTGTCTTTAAACGATATCTGGTCAGAGAACTAGTTCCCCAAGTCAAGTCCAATTTCATTTGTTTTCTAACGTAGAATTCTCACCAGAGTGAACGGTTCTAATGCGTGTCTACAGAAATTTCCAAAGCTTCCTAAATATCTAAATCAGATTTTAGAACATTTTATCTATTTTCTTTTTTAAAGATTTTTATTTTTAAGTAATCTCTACACCCAACATGGGGCTCAAGCTCACAGCCCTGAGATCAAGAGTCCCACAGTCTACTGACCAAGCCAGCCCATGCCTCTTAGAACATTTTAAAGAAAGACATAATCTAACTTATGCAGACTTTCAATTTAATCAAATCGCAGTTTTTGTTTTTGTTTTGCTTGTGTTGTGCTGACGCATGAGAAGTCACAAATGGTAAAGATTATTTTAAAGGTTGCCTTCCTCCTCTTTCAAGAAGTACACAGGGGCACGTGGGTGGCTCAGTCAGTTGGTTAAGAGTGTGACTTCGTTGATGGACACTTAGGCTCTTTCCATGTTTTAGCTATTTTTGAGAGTGCTGCTATGAACATTGGGGTCCATGTGCTCCTATGCCTCAGCATTTCTGTATTCCTTGGGTAAATTCCTAGCAGTGCTATTGCTGGGTCATAAGAGAGTTCTAATGTTAATTAAATGAGGAACCTCCACACTGTTTTCCAGAGAAGATGTGGTTTATCTATACCATGGAATACTACATGGCAATGAGAAACAATGAAATCTGGCCATGTGTAGCAACATGGATGGACCTTGAGGGTGTTATGCTGAGCGAAATAAGTCAGGCAGAGAAGGACAAATATCATATGTTTGCACGTATAGGAGGATTAGGAGGAACTTGACGGAGGAACAAGCGGGAGAAGAAGGGCGGAAATGGTGGGGGAAAGGGAGAGAGGCAAACCATGAGAGACTCTTGAATGCTGACAAAAACTGAGGACTGATGGATGTGGGGGGGAGGGCGGGATGGGCATGGAGGAGGGCACTTTGGAGATGAGCACTGAGTGTTATGTAGAAACTAATTTGACAATAAACTATTTGTAAAAAAAAAAAAGAGTGTGACTTCGGCTCAGGTCATGATCTTGAGATTTGTGAGTTCAAGCCCCACATCGGGCTCTGTACTGACAGCTCAGAGCCTGGAGCCTGCTTCGGAATCTGTGTCTCCCTCTCTCTCTGCCCCTCCCCTGCTCACATTCCGTCTCTCTCTCTCTCTCAAAAATAAGTAAACATTAACAAAAATTTGTTTAGGTGCACAAGCAAGTTACTTCTTTTTTTAATCAATTTTCCTGCATATTCTCCTATGATCCATACTTATTAGGTAGAGATTAACGTTGAGATCCATATAGATAACTCATTCCAGGTGACAGTACATTAAGTGGCAGAACACCAGAAGGCATTCTTGTGTAGCTGGAGAAGCTTCCGACCCTGCTAAGCGCGTATGTCAGAAATAGTGCCTCTTTTGCTGGGAGAAAATGAAGGTCACAAGGAAAACTACCTACCCCCCAAGCACTGTTACTTAATCTACTCTTGTTTCTGGCTCAAGAGAAAGATGAACTGGTCCATCCTCCTCCACCTCAAAAACTGCCACATTCATGGGATTTTGTTAGTGCTTCTTGCTGTTCAGGCAGGCTCTTCTTTTCTCTGTGGCTTGTTGCCTTGTAGTTACTTTGCCGCTCCTTGGCACCGTGCCAGTCGCTGTCCTTGTCTGATGGGACCAACGTGTGGCCTGGGATCTTCCTTCTTCCCCAAGTGCTTTCCTCCGGGCTCCTCCACCCTCTTTCTCCCCGGGCTAGTCTCCCACACCCGTGACCTTCCTCTCAGTGTTCCCCTTGCAATGTGGGCACTGGCCCAGCCTCCATTCCCAGCCTTCTCCTCCCTCGTAAACCCAGGCTGTCCCTGTCACTTCTTCCCCTCAACCCCAAAGGAGGGGGCCTTCTAAAATGCCACTCTGACCCCGCTTTACCTCTGTTTAAATTCCTTCAACACCCCCCCAAAAGCTAGCAGGATCATCTTCAGTCTCCTTGGCCAGGACACTGAGAGCTTCTGGCTTGGCCCTAGGTCACCGCCAAGTGTCGCTGCCTCCTGGCTCCTCTTCTGTAGTGGGGTCACACTTTATGCAAGTTTGTCAAACACATGGTGGTGTTTCCTGCCACTGCCTATGCCGTTCCTCCACCAGGGCTGCCTTTCCTTCCTTTCCCCGTCTGTCTAGTGTCTAAATCGAATCCTCTTCCCCATGCAAACCTTTCCCATGCTTTATTGTTTCTGAAAGACAAAGCCTAAACTAGTTTTTGGTACGTAGGGCTCTCCGAGATCTCAGCCCCTGCTTCCATCTCTAACTCCCCCCTCAGCTATGCCCCATCTTTGACTCCACTCCTGGGCAAGCCAGTTATTTTGAGTCCTTGAACTGAGCACAAATGGAAGTCATTCCCCAAATCCTCACATCTGCTCTAAACTTCCAATTCAGCTCCCCAAAAGTGGTCCCTGGAGCTCATCCCTCTTTTGCCCCTTCTTGGAGCTTTAATGGTCTCTCCTTTGACTGGCTGTTCTTTCTTTAGAAGGACATCAGTGCTCAGAATGGTCTGAGGCACAAGAGGATTCAGCAAATATCTGTAGAGCAAACACCCAGGAAAGGGTTAATCTCTTACTGTGACTCTTCCTCATGCCCTGGGGGAGGCCCAACAATACTGGCCACAACTGAGCATTGGTTTTTTCAGTGCAAAGGACAGAGAGGACCCAGTTTCTTTGTCTTTCTACTCTGAAGAGCCACAGATGTGACTGGAGAGCCTTGGGTGCTGCTCCTGGAGGCCATAATGACTGAGGGATGCTGGGGGTTACCTGCCACGATGTAGAGGGGTCAAGCACATCTCCAACCCTCCATGGGTCCTGGGGTTCCCGCAGGGTGGGGGAGACCTAGGGTCGGCCCAGAAGGATAAAGACCTTTAGGTTTCAGTCCATGTATTGAACGGTATAATTGAAATTATCCAAGTAATTATGTGGATTAGAGAGATTTCTAAGTACAGCCCCCTGCCCTCCACCAAATCTATGACATTCCATGAAAGAATGCCTCGTATATAAAAATATCCATTGGCATGTGACTCCTCCCTCCTGGTCAACAGAGCAGGAAAAGTAATTCCCTTATGAAACAATTGTGATTCTCCCCAGTCCTCTTCTGCATTTTTCTGATTATACCTGAAGGAATTTTCTTACGGAATCCTTTCTCTTTCCCTACTTTCCCCACTTCTTGCCCACTTACCAAGAGAAAGACTTTCCTTGCTTTCCCCTTAACCTCTTAAATTCTCTAACCCTCAGTTTCCACTTCCGTGAAATAGAAATAATAATAGGGTTGAGAGAATTAAGTAGACAACATGTAAAATTGCTTAGCACAGCAAGAAAGAAGAGTGTGATGCATGTCCGCTGTGATCAGTGTCTTTTATATTGCATTTAGGAGTGACAAACAGAAGAAAATGCAAGAGATAAATCCCTATTGAGGAAAAGAAAAGTTGTAAGTCTTCTCATGCAATTAACATATAAAGCCAGAAACATCAACGTCTTGGTCCCCTCTAAAATAACCAGAACAGGAGGCACCTCAGTGACTCCGTCGGTTAAGCATCCAACTCTTGATTTTGGCTCAGGTCATGATCTCACAGTTTGTGAGTTTGAACCCTGCGTTGGGCTTTGTGCTGCTGATACGGAGCCTGCTTGGGATTCTCTCTCTCTCCCCTCCTCACTCTGTGCCCCTCCCCCACTCTTTCTCTTTCTTAAAATAAATAAATTAATTAAATTAAATAACTGGAACTGTTCTTCTGAATTGCTATCCTAACCATCTAATCAATACTAAGTCATGTGGTGCACACAGAGAGAGCTCTGAGGAACTGACACCCTAGAAGTCATATCTAAGTCTTTTCTAGTTCTACAATGTGTATTCTACCTATTCCTCAAAAGGACACAGCGGCTTGTAGTAAAATGCTCAGGGTAAGTGGAAATCAACAGAAAATGAAGAATCAGACCAAAAAAGTACAGCATTTCAGAAAGGAGAGAAAATTGTATTGGAAGCCGCAAATGAGCTGGCTTCTTTTTTTCCCAACTTTTTTTGGCCACTGTGTTCGATTCCAATATTATGGTAGAAATGCCTGAAGAACTGTCAACATTCGATTCAGCTCAAGCATCCTTGGCTATCTCCCAGCTTAGAAATGGAAGGTCCTGGTTCTGCCTGATGCAGGCCTCGGGCCACACAGGAAGTCACAGAGCACAGAGGGACCTGGCTTCAGGAGACAGGGGAGCTGCCCAGACCTGTCCTGGGTCTCAGCTGATAACTGCCCTTCATCCAGCTGTGACTGGGCCTATGCTGTGACAGAGGCCAGAAGTCCCTGTTTAACCAAACAATTCAAGTGACATAGTCACGGCAACACTGGCATGTGGTGAGAGTGACCGTATCCAGCCTGGCTTGGTCCCTCACCACACAGGGGACAGGAGTCTTCAGGGAGGCCTGGCCAAGTGAGAACAGATATCCTGACATCCACAAATGTCTGAAAATCCCACAGATGGAATTTTCAAATAAGTGATAGTATAAACCTCACAGAAGGAGGCATTGCCAGCACGAGGTTCCAGAATGTTTTACTGAGCACTCTGGAGAAAGCCACATATGAAAAAGTGCATCACAGTTAACAACAAAAAGATGGCCTACAAGATGCGCCAGCCTGGAGATGAATCCCTTTCCTAACATTGAAAAGCAAAAAAGATTTATTGTTTAAAAATTTTAAAAAGTTTTTAATTCCATTTAGTTTTAGGTATACAATGCAGTGAGGCAATACTCTGCTCCCTACTCCCACACATCACGCTGTGCTCATCACAAGTGCTTAACACACTTCTTTCAATCCCCATCATCTATTTCACCTATCCCCCACCCACTTCCCCTCTGCTATTCATCAGTTTGTTCTCTATAATTAAGAATCAGCTTCTTGATTTCCCTCTCTCTCTCTTTCCCTTTGCTTGTTTGTTTTGTTTCTTAAATTCCACATATGAGTGAAATCATATGGTATTTGTCTTTCTCTGACTGACTTATTTTACTTAGCATTATACTCTCTAGATCCCTCCATGTCATTGCAAATGGCAAGATTTCATCCTTTTTATGGCCAAATAATATTCCAGTGTGTGTGTGTGTGTGTGTGTGCGTGTGTGTGTGTGTGTGTGTGTATACATACACCACTTCTTTATCCATTCATCAATTGTTGGACACTTAAGCTGCTTCCATATCCTAGCTATTGTAAATAATGCCGCTATAAACACAAAGGCGCATGTATCCCATTGAATTAGGTTTTGTATTCTTTAAATAAATACCTAGGAGTGCGATTCCTGGGTCATAGGGTAGTTCTATTTTTAACTTTTTGACAAACCTCCATGCTGTTTTCCATCAGTTTGCATTCCCACCAGCCAATACTCTAGAGAGTATTTCTTTTTCACCACAGCCTCACCAACACCTATTGTTTCTTCTGTTCCTTTTTAGCCATTCTGACAGGTGTAAGGTGAGATCTCACTTAGTTTTGATTTGCATTTCCCTGATGGTAAGTGATGAACATCTTTTCATGTGTCTGTTGGCCATCTAGATGTCTTCTTTGGAGAAATATCTGTTCATGCCTTCTGTCCATTTTTATCGGATTATTTGTTTTTTAGCTGTTGAGTTTTGTAAATTGTTTATATATTTTGGACACTAACCCTTCATTGTATATGTCATTTGCAAGCATCTTCTTCCATTCAGTAGGCTGTCTTTTAGTTTCTTGATTGTTTCCTTTGCTGTGCAGAAGCTTTTTTACTTAATGAAATTTCAATAGTTTATTTTTGCTTTGTCTCCCTTGCCTCAGAAGACATACCTAGAAAAAGTTGGTAAGGCTAATGTTGAAGAGGGTTACTGCCTGGGTTCTCTTCTAGGATTTTTATGGTTTTTGGTCTCACATTAGAACTGAAAAAGATGAGTTTAAATTTACACATGTATGCCAATGAAGTGTTGCTCCAGAAGAATTTTCTGCATTTCCAACTGATGACCTTCCTTCTGGTGAGGATCTATGTAGTGCATGGGAACACTAAATGCGGCATCAGAGAAGTGGCAAGAGCTCACATTCACAAAAAGGAGCATGCCAGCGACAGGAGATACAACATCATTTCCACTATTAAATTCTAGGAGAATACTGACTGCAGAGGTATTTTTCAAAAAAAATACCGAGTAGACTAATAGGAAATATCTGCAGAGTGATTTTGCAGAACCTGCAGTTCAGACGGGCAGAAAGTGCCTGCAGTCCTCTAGGTCTGATCTGTACTCAGGCCCCGGGCAGAATGGTAGAATGTCTTGGACACATTTTTAACTTCTGAGTCTCAGCTCCTCATGTGTGAAATAGTGAAAATAGTTCCTACCACTCAGGGTCACTCTGAAGAGATAATGAGAGAGTGGAAGTAAGTGGCTGGCCCATGACAGGCATTTAGCAAAGATTTGCCTTCCATCCCCCATATGTTGCTTATACAAATCTTCACTACTCCTTGGATAGATGTATGGACTTTCATATTCATACTCTAGTATTTCATAAACACGGATGAATCACAGGTCATCTATTTGCACTCTTCTTCGATTACCTCGCCCCCTAGATCATGAGCTCCACACGAGAGGGGCTCTTCCTATTTCCTTCCAGTGTAAGTGGTAAGGAGCATATCGCACATGGCACACGTTCCATCAGTATTTGTTGTAGGAAGGAAAGAAGACATTTTTTTTTTTAGCGAGGACTTATTAATATGGTCTAAGAGTGTTGCTTTTTGGTGACCAGCTTGAAGCACACGTGTGGCTTCAGAGACTGTCCGGAGAGGATGGTTGACTGGTGCTCTGGAATATCAACATTAGATGTTCTGAACGTCCATAGACTCCTCAGATTAAATCTGCTTTCCCTCCAGCACCAGCATTCAAGTGAAAAGTTTTAAATGACTCAAAAATTGATGTTATTGCTTTTATGTTCTTTTGAACTACAAATTTTCAACAGTATAGTCTATTTATCACCGTAAATGCACAGCCATTCAGTTTCAAAACAGAACCAGGACAGATTATGGGCTAGCCTCGAAAATTAATTACCGCTTATATAACAAAATTTTTGTGGTAAAAATGTGTTCTCGGTTCCAAATGACTAGCTCATGAATGAACTTTAAAAACCCAAACCATTTGTACTTCAGGGTTTTGTACAACACACTGATGAAATACTATGAAAGTTGTACCTTTATAATGTCATTAATGAAAAAAAATTTAGTCTAAAGTAAAATATCTTGTCTCTGTTTTTCCTTCCTTCTTTCCTCCCTCCCTCCCTCCCTATCCCCTCTCCGAGTTTCCCAAACACACTTTAAAAAAATCCTCTATATTCCAAGCTGCATTGGCAGAAAAGGCTCCAAAAAAGTGTTAAGACTGTGACTCACCTCATTGTAATTCTGCTTATAGAATTTATGGAAAAGGAATGAAATCCAAGAAAATAAAATAAAACTTTAAAAATCCCACTGATAAGCAAAAATCCTTTCTGTAGGAAATAAGGTTATATAAAAAGATTTATATTTTGTTTCATATAACTCAGAGGAAACCCATATCCCCTGTTAACTGCCACCTCTAATTAGTTACAGACCATTTAACTCCGTAAATATTTTCAAGGATTAATGATAATTGACACATGTGCTGTGCTTTTAATCTTTTAAGAAATGTTAATACTGATTCATTTTTCCTAGAATCTTGGGATGGTGCCAGTATTTTATCCCAGTCGAAAAAGAGGCAGAGATGCCACTTTATAACCAACCCCTCAATGGTGAAGTCAGCTTGGTTATGCACATCTGCCCAGGTCTGTCTCTTTACTACACCCTCCACTTAGCTCAGCTCCAGCCATTGCCAGGGTGAC